TTGAGTTCCAAGTTTTCTCTCCCCCTCCCAACTCTGTATTAGAGGCCAACATTTGATATAGATATATATGTGGAACCATACAATACATACTTTGATATATCAGTTCTTTCTCTGGAGGTGGATAGCATTTTCCTTCCTCAGTCCTTTGCAGTTGATTTCAATGATCATGTTATTCAGAATAGCTTAGTCATTCATAGTTAATCTTTGAACAGTATTACTGTTATTATATACCACTTTTTCTTGGTTCTGTTTATTTCACTCTGAGTTATTTCATTCAAGTTTTTCCATGTTTTTCTAAAACCAACCTGCTTGTTATTTCTTTTAGCACAATAGTGTTTCATCACAATCATATACCACAACTTATGCAGCCATTCCCCAATGGATGGGCATCTCCTCACTTTTTAGTTTTGTCACCACAAAGAGTGCTGCTGTAAATATTTTAGAACATATCAGTTCTTTTCCTTTTGCCCTGATCACCCTGGAAAACAGACCTAACAGTGGTATTGCTGGGTAAAAAGGTATACAGTTTTTATGACTCTTTGGGCATAATTCCAGATTGCTCCCCAAAATGGTTGAATCAGTTCACAATTCTACCAACTATTAGTGTATTAGTGTCCCAATTTTTCCACATACCCACCAACATTTGTCATTTTCCCCTTCTATCATTTTAGCCAATCTGAGAAGTATGAGATGAGACCACAGAGTTGTTTTAATTATCATTTCTCTAATCAACAATGATTTACAGCATTTTTATAAGGCCATATATAGCTTTGATTTCTTCTCCCTCAAACTGTCTATTCATTTCCTTTGACCATTTATCAATTGAATGACTCATATTCTCATAAATTCTACTCATTTGTATATTTGAGATGAAGCTTTTATCTAAGAGACTGGCTATAAAATTTTTTCCTCCAATTTTCTGCCTTCCTTCTAATTTTGGGTACACTGTTTTTATTTGTACAAAACCTTTTTGACCTTAATCAAAATTATCCACTTTTTATCCCACAATGCTCTCTACCTCTTTTTTATTCACAAATTCTTTTCTCATCCATAATTCTTATAGGTAATATGTTCCATGCTCAACTAAGTTACTAATATCTTCCTTTATGTCTAAGGTATATATCCATTTTGACATTCTCTTGGTAATTGGTGTAAGATACTGATCTATACTTAGTTTCTGTCAGACTGCTTTCCAGTTTTCCCAGCAATTTTACAAAATAGTGAGTTCTTATCTCCAAATCTTAGATCTTTGTGCTCATCAAACACAAAGTTACTACTACAGGTCATTTACTACTTCAAATTGTATACTTACTCCATTCCACTGATCCAATGTTCTATTTCTTAGCCAACACCAGATAGTTTTGATAAGTACTGCCTTATAAAAGATCTGGTATTGCTAGACTTCCTTTATATTTTCCCCCATTAATTCCTTTGATATTCTTGACTTTTTGTTCTTCCAAATGAATTTTTTTTTCTAGCTCAATAAAATTTTTTTGGTAGTTTAATTGGGACAGCACTAAATAAATAATTTAAATGGAATTGTCATTTGTATTGTATTGGCTTGGCCCATGAACAATTAATATTTCACCAATTATTTAAATCTTACTTTATTTGCATAAAGTGTTTTATAATTATGTTCAGATAGTTCCTGGGTTTATCTTGGCAGGTATCCATAAACTGTTAAGAATAATCCATATCATCTAAACTATACAGTTCAAGCTCATTTGTTAACCTAGGATGTTTGGGGATTTATTAGATCAGCTCATTAACCCTTCTTCTACAAGCTATATAATAATTCCTATCCTTCACAAATCCTGCTTTCAAATTTTTTCACCAAAGAGATAAGAAAAGGTGGATTAGACAATTGGGTGGAGACATAACAGAATTCTGGTTAGGTGTCTCTTTAAAAATTTAATTTTTACATAACTCCTACTTTTATTTTTATTTTGAAAATCCTGGGAATATGATCAGGCAGAAGTGTGCTTTTGGTAGTAGAAATACTTGGATGTTTTGAGCAATTCTTATGAACAAGAGGAATGACTTCCCTTGATTAAGAGATGGAAACAGGGCAAATAACAGCGTTGGTAATAGTCACTATCTAATTTACAGAGTGAAAGCTGAAAGATATCATGGAGGTCATCTTGAGCAACCTTCTCATTTTACAGATGAGAAAACTGAAGCCTAGAGATGATTTGTCCAAGGTCACACAGGCAGTTATTGGTAGCTCCAGCACTAGAGGACCCAGGTCATCAGGACTGCTAGTCCAGTGTTCTTTACAATACTCACATCCCTAATTGCACCTGTTTCAGAGGCCTTACCTTTGGGGGGGGAGCAAGAAATGAGTGGCACATTAAACTCCCATAGCATTTAGCCAACCTAAGTAAGATAGTAGTACATAGGTTAGCTATATGTTAAATTGCTGTATTGTAGGCCAGGTTCTTCTGTAGTTCGGTTTTGATATTGGGATGAAATGGATCACTTGTAGAACGTGACATTTAACAAAAGGGAATTTACTTAACCATAGCAAGGGAAGACTATTCAATTGATACATGATTGATTTATGTTGCAGCCCTGAATTTCTCTGTTGGTCATTTTTGTCTGCCACTCAGAAGCTTGAGAGAGCAGGTTTTTTTTTTTAAATTTTGTCTTGTTTTAAGGCCATCAGAAAGCCAAGTCAATACCAAGTCTTAGTATCCTGAACCAATTAAGTCTCAAGAACAGGTACAGTACATTTTAAAGTAAAATTAGTCTAACTTAGCTGACAGGTATTGCCCCTACCACATCAGGTATGTTAAAAAAGCATATGAAAAATGAAAAAGTGTAATAAGTGGGGAAATTTTACTTGTATTTTATGTTGATTGATTAGGTTAAATAGTTCCCACTGTCTGTGCCTCAACAAGACAAACTTGATAAGGGCTGTGAAAACCAGAAAACAAAACTAGAGGTAAATAAATGCAAAGAAAGTATCTATTTACATGAACTAAAACAAATAATAAAATGAACACAGACAGTACTGGAGTCAAATACACTTAAGTACTTCAAATAGATCTGTGATCTCATAGATGTTGGTACTCTTCCTACTAGTACAGATCATAACTGCATCCAAACCTTCTGAGAAATTTCTAGTTTCTCAGGTTCAAAATCCTAGAATTAATGTTTTTTTTTTGTTGTTGTTGTTTATGGTATTTAAAAGTTCTTTGTTTTTCCCTTGACCTATCACTGTAGCCCCTGATCCTGCTTTTTCTTTCCAATTGTTCCTAATTTCCACAATGTCTCTATTTCCATAGCTTTTTGACCCTTATTTAGAAATCTAATGTTCATAGAACTAGAGCTGATTTGGTCCAACCCCCTATTTCATAGAGGAGGTAATGGAGGGCCAAAGAGGTATGGTGATTTACCAAGGTATGGTGACTTACCAAGGTCACACAGGTAATAAATGTCATTAGAATTTGAACTCAGGGTCCTAGAGCCTGTGTTTTTTCCACTGTCATGCCTGAATTAGTGTAATGAGTATCCAAAAATACTTCTTGAGCACTTTCCACATACCTGGAACAGTGCATAGGAATAAGCAGTTTGGGAGACAAAATATACACATGTGAATCAATTGGTGAAGAATATATATCAAAGAGTCTTCCCTGACTTATCATTTTGCCTCAATGCTGATATCAATCAGTTGTCAAAATTTTACCTTCACAATTATCTTTTGCCTTTGAATCTTTCTCTCCATTCACACAACCAACAGGCCCACATTATCTCTCACCTGGATTGTTACAATAGCCTCTTAATTGGACTCTTTGCCTTACCTTTCCAACTAATACTTCACACAGCTCCTAGGAGTCCTCAAGGAGGGTATTAGTAGAGAACAACAAACACCTTTTCATAATTGAAATTCAATGATCGAATTTCGAATTTCAATGACCAGTTGAAAAATGAATTGAAATGGAGAATGGAAAGGTCACATTAAGCCCAGGGTTCCTAGGAAGACCAATGACAGCCCCCCCCCCCCCAAAAAAGAGAAGTAAGCTCCTCCACCCAATCTAGAACTTCGGAAAAAATCAGTGCAGAAGGGTCGAACATAAAGGCGACGTTAAAAAGTGAAAAAATACCAGAAACAGAAAATGGGGGTCTGTTCTTGGTGAGGAAAGGAGGGTCTGAAGATGGTGGTGGTGCTGTTTTCTCTGGTTTGATCTACTAGTCTACCTGACTCTTCCCTATGCATTGAAGAAGCATTGGGGACCCTTGGGGGAGGGGGGCAGTAGACTTGGAATAAGAAGGGGGTTTCGGAGAGACCGAGGAAGGGCTGTCCGGGAGGGGGCGGGGAGGCGTAGCGCTTTGTGGATGTAACACAGACTAAGGTCTAGCGCTCCTATTAGTCCTGATGGACAGCTCCAAGCTCCGGGAAAGATCCATATTGCCAATAGAAAGGACATTGGAGAGGGGGAAATCCCGAGTTGCCGAACCTTCCTTTCTTCCCTCTTTTGGCTTTGCCCGGGGAAGGGGGAAATGCCCTATAATACTCTTGGGGGGGAAAGGAGGGAGAAACTAAGCCAGACTTCCCTCGGGTCCTCCTTCCCCCAGGTCCCCTTACGTGGAGGGCAATCCCCTCCGGGGACTTAACAAGGCTTCGGGCGGCCCCGCCCTCATTATGCGGTGGGGTGCCGGTCGCCTAGGCGACCGGATCGCTTGCCCCACCCCCTCGCGCAGCCCCTCCCCCGTCGGCCATGCCAGGCTCCTTCTCCCTCGCCCCCGCCCCCCTCGGCCGCAGGAATAGCAGTTAGCAAGCAGCTGCAGCCCTCGCCGGGGAGCTGGGGCTCTCCCCGGGAGCCAGACCCACGGAGCTCGGCCTCGAGCTCTGCGCTCCGAGGCGGCTCCACTTCCCTTTCTTCCCCGCTGCCCTCCCCCCCGGCCCCCGCCCCTCGCCCCTCCCTGCGTCACTCCGGACTCATCCACTCCCCAGCCTGCCCCGCCCCCCACACCTTGGACTGACCGACCACGAGCTCGCTCCCGGGCCTCGCCCTCTTCCCCCGGCCCCGGCTTCGGCTCTTCTTGGTCCACGCGTGTTTAGCTTCGCGCTCCGGGCTTCGACCTCTCCCCATCTGGCGCCGCTCCCACAGCCCGGCGCGACCTCCCTTCATGACACCCGGCTGAGGGTCGGCGATGGAGGGAGATTGTGCCGAGTCTCTGGTGAGTACGCTCTTGTGGAGGAGCCGCCGCGGCCGCTCTCGGGGGAAGCCATGGCCGCCCGCTCTCCTAGCTCGGCGGGGCGGCCTCAGCGGGGCTGTGGCTCCTGCTCCGGTGCCCGCGAGTCCGCGCTCGGCCGCCGCGCCACACCCTGGGGCGGGGGCGGCCGCACCTCCCGCTGCGGTGCCGGAGCCCCAGGTTCCCCCTTCCCGGCCCGGCGGGGGGTGGGGCCGCCTCGGGGCCCCGGGGCGCCTCGAAATAAAGAAATCAGTGATGGTTCGTTTGGTTTGACTTTGTGTGAGCCTCGGGAGCCGGCGAGCGGGGTCGGAGCGCACCTGCCGGGGCTGGGCCGGGGCCGGCAGCGCTTCGTGGCGCTTTGGGGAGACTCGTGCGGCCCCCTTCCCCCGCCCGCCCCGGCCTGGGGCTCCCCCGAGCCGCCGCAGCCTCCTCCCTGGCCGGGCCGAAGGCTTTCATTACTGCCCTAGTTCTGGCAGGAGTGCCGGCATTTATAAACAATAATGACAATAGCTAACAATTTTCTGACTCGGCCGGTGTGGCGGGCTGAGCCCCGCAGTTAGTATCCCGGTGGGGCGTCACGACAGCTCTGGGAGATAGGAGCTGTTATTCCCATTTTTCAGACGAGGAAACAGACGAAGTAGAAGAAATGCAGGGCCTGGAGTCGGGAAGAGTCATCTTCCTGAATTAAAATCTGGCCTCAGATACCTGATAGCTGTGTGACCCTGGGCCAGTCACTTAACCCTGTCTGTCTCAGTTTCCTCTTCTGTAAAATGAGCTAGCAAAGGAAATGGCAAATCATCTGTTTCTTTGTTCAGAAAACCCCAAAATGGGGTTCGACTTAGGAAGAGTCAGACGCGACTGGAAAATAACAGCAACAGATGAGGAAACTAAGGCAAACAGGCTAATTGACTTGTTCAGGCCCAGGGCTCCATCCACTGCCCCGCCTAGCTGCCTATTGGGGAATGTCAGATTGAGTCAAACAGGAAATTAAACAAATTGAGGTAATAACTAAACCGCATTTCTTTCTTTCTTTCTTTCTTTCTTTTTTTTGACAAACCACATTTCTTGTCACTTAAGCAGCAGGTTGCATTATAACAGTAATTTGTTCTTTCAGATCTCTAATTGGGAAAAGACTTTTACCCTTGGATAAGATTGTTTTGTCACTTGGGATAAGTTACTTAACCTCTTTGGGTCTCAGTTTCCTCATCTGTAAAATGAGGGTGTTGGACAATGCCCTGATTTTTGTAAGGTAAATAAGCTAAGAATGGTTTTTACTTTTTTAAATAAAGTTTTATTGTATTTAAAATTTAAAAACCATTCTTAGCTCACAGGCCTTAGAAATAAAAAGGCAGTAGCTGCATTTTGCCTTTGGCCTATAGTTTGCCTCCTCTTGGACTAGATGGACTTTAAATTTCCTTCCTGCTTTAAATGTAGGATCGTCTGACCATCATGATAAAGAATTCAAATTCACATCATTGACTATCCATTAGAAAAAATGAAGTGAGTTGAAATACATTTGTATGATATGTATGATGTATGATAAACTGTATGTATTTGGGGTTTTAAAGCATAAAGCAAACATTTCAAAGTACATTTGAAATTATTAATCAAATCCTTTCTGAGACCTAATTATTCCTCCACACCCCATATTCAATGGGGATGGATTTTATTTAACATCCAGATGATATAAAAATTCAATAAATACATTGAAAATTTCTGTTGAAAACCAGGATCCAAGTGATTGTGCTATTTATTAGATAGTGAATTATTTGTTTTAATACTATCCTGTTCCAGAAGGGTGGCATGTTTTCTTGAAAACAAATGTGTGCATTAAAATTTTGGGGGTACATCATTAAAAATCAAATACTAAGAAGGTTACTAGTGTTAATATTTTAATGTTTGACTGTTACTGACTTTCTGGTCTATTGAATCTTAGAATTTTAGAGCCAGAAAGGACCTCAGTGATTAGTCCATCGTCATTTTACAAGTGAGAAAACTGACTCAGAAAGGTTAGTTATATCCCCAAACCAGTTAATGACAGACAGAACAGAAAATATCAGATAGAACATAGAATCATAGTGTTTGATATTTGAGTTCCTCATTCTACATATAGATGAAACATAAGGACAGAATACTTGTGTAAGGTCACCAAACATCTTGTACTAATAAAGACTTAAACTTACTAATTGTTCTAATGAAAATATCATTATACTTATGAATCTTTCTAATTTTTGTTGCTCTTCCTTTTTTATAGAATACTTTTAAAATATAGTAATTTTTATTTAACCTAGGAATATACAATATATGTAAAACAGTGGACATAGTTCTAGGTCTCAAAGATGTGTAATTACAGAATTCAGCCATATAAATATTCAGCCATATGAACAGATTTAAAATAAAGATTCTTAAATATTTTAATGGATCCAGAAAATTGTCATGTTAAGTGTTTGGCGGTCATAGAAAGGCTGAATCTAGTGTAAAGAAGAATAGTTTATTCATAGTGCTGTTCATTTTGCATAGGTTTATAATCTCAAGTTTTCTGCAAAAATTTTTTACCTGTTTTTCCTAAAGTCATGCAAATCAGCATTAGTTTTATAGTTTATTGGCAATTTATTGAATTTAGATTGTGGTATAATCTACCCTTCCCAGTAAATTCCTGATGATGTTGCTGATTTATTTTGCCATTGTGTACTCAGTCCTTCAATATTACCTGCTTTTGCCTCATTTACCATATTGTGTGCCCTTAGACCATGAGTCTTGAGGATGGTAAGTTGCTCATGATAGAGAGGAAGATTCAGATTTATTTTTTAAAATTATGTTCCTTGGTGACTTTTCTGGAAAGATATCGGAAATAGGTGTGTAACATGCATGTATGTACACATAAGCACATGTGTGTATTTGTAAACGTGTTATATGTAAGCACCTATCTACAGCTAAGTGCCTTTTTGTCTCTGACTTCTTTTTCTTCCTTCATTTAAGGTTACTATTAAGAATATTGAACGAGAGCTCATCTGCCCAGCATGCAAGGAGCTGTTTACCCATCCGTTGATCCTTCCCTGTCAACACAGTATCTGTCATAAATGTGTTAAAGAACTTCTTTTACTGACACTTGATGATTCATTTAATGATGTGGCATCAGAGAGCTCCTGTCAAAGTAGCCCTAGACTTCGGGTCCAGTCTCCTAGTATGGATAAAATTGACAGAATTAACAGAGCAGGTATGTGCCAGGATATCTGGACATTTAGCTTCTGTTCTGACATATGTTGAATGCTAACAGATAGGAAATTTTCATTTCATCATATTCAACTATTGTAGCCAAATGAGTAAGTAGTTATCAAGGTATTTTTTTTCCTTTCGAATGTAAGTTTATACTTGATGAAATGGCAGTTTATTAGAATGCTGTCCATTCATTTAACTCATATTGAACACCACTTTTTCCAGAGCACTCTACTAAGGTCTTTGGGACAGGTGGTTTATAAAGTTAGGGGTAAATAAATGTATTTTTTATTTTTTTTTTCTTTGTAGGCAGTGGGGTTAAGTGACTTGCCCAAGGTCACACAGCTAGTAAGTGTCAAGTGTCTGAGGCTGGATTTGAACTCGGGTTCTCCAGACTCCAGGGCTGGTGGTCTATCCACTGCGCCACCTAGCTGTCCCTAGTAAATAGATATATTTATGAGATTTGATCTTTTATAGTATTTTTGGAAATGAAGATAAATATGAACAGGAGCTTTTACAAGAGAAAATTATAACTTTTTAGATCTTTAAATAAATGCTGAGGAATAAATAGAATCAATTACATAGTTGGGTTATTGCTAGTTTTGAAGGCTGTAAATCTTTAGTATCATCAATTCCCACTGATTGCTTTCTCCTTAACTTAATCACATTTTATTTTTGTGTAGGTATAGAGACTTGACTTCTGATTTCATTGGCATAGGGAATATCTGTGTCACTAAACTCTCTCTATTAATACAGGTTGGTGACATATTTGCCTCATATAGTTTTAGAGTTGCATAGAGCGCTAAGTACTTAAATGAATTGCTCAAGATCACACAGACTGTACGTAACAGAGCTAAGACTTGAGCAGAGATCTACCTATCTTCCAGGAAGGTCAGCTCCATCTGCTACTGCACTGTGCTGCCTTGCTATATTGTTGCAAGAAAAGCAGTTTGAAAACTTTTGCCATAAATTTGATCTGTGTATCACTTATGCATTGATACAGACATAAAATTTTATATCTGGATATTGTCAAAACTGTGATGAATGAGGAAAAATATATTAGCTACTTTCAATATGCAAACTACAGTAGAAAAGGCCCATTGAACTGTAATGCAATAATTGGTTCCTGTCAGGAGGTAGACTAACCTTTCTTAGGCTAATTTGGGTCAGGCCTACAGTCACGAAATGTAGAAGTCCAAAAAGAAGTGATTGCTCTTTTCGGGAAAAATATGAGATTCCTGCAAAAATGAAATCAGTATCAGATTACCTAGCACAGAGGTAAGGATTTGTGAGGAAGAGGGTGCTAAAGGTTCTACATAGGCTTGGCAGATCACCAGTGAATAGAATCCTTTGGGGTAATTGGCTATAGTGCTTTTCCTTTGAACCTTGCTTCAAGGTTAAGTAGTCAGGATACTATTACAGTCAGTTCCAACTGCTCTTTGAAGGTTGTTTAGATGAAAATTCTTCACTCCAAACAAAAATTTTAGCAAGGGGGTGCTAATTACCTTTTGTTAATTGCAAAATAAACAGATTTCCAGTAGAGAGTAGTAGCTCTCCTCTTTTGTGTGTCTCCCTGTCACATAGGGCTTTTATATGAAGTATTTTTATGCTTATATTCTTCACCTGAGGCAGCTAGGTGTGGCAGTGGATAGAGTATTGGCCTGGAGTCAGGATGACTCATCATCTGGAGTTCAAATGTGGCCTTAGACACTTACTAGCCATGTGACCTTGGGCAAGTCTCTTAACCCTGTTTGCCTTAGTTTCCTCATCTGTAAAATGAGCTGGGGAAGGAAATGGCAAACCATTCCAGTATCTTTGCCAAGAAAACCCCAAATCAGGTCATGAAGAGTCAGATATGACTGAAACAACTCAACAACAACAACAACAACGACAGTAATCTTCACCTACAACAGCAACAACAACCATCATGTACCCACTGACCATGGGTGGCTTGTAAGTGTGCTCTTATACTATTATAAAAGAAAGCGAAGGGTATGTTAAAATTTATTAAAGGTTTGAATGCCAACTGGCTTGCTGAATATATTCTGCATATTTTTTAAGCCACCAAACAATAAATGTGTACAATACGCAGTGTGCTGTGCTAATTGCTAAGAGTTATAAGGACAAATAAGGAACGTTTACTGCCCTCAGAGTATTTATGACCTAGCAGGGAGTTTAATATTTACACAGGCAAGTATAATGCATAAAAGGAAGATAGCACCAGAGTAGTACAGTATATCATGGGCAGTTAGATGTTTTAGTGGATTGAGTCAGCCTTGGATACTTTACTAGATGTGACCTTGGGCAGATCATTTAATCCCTGTTTGTCTCAGTTTCTTCACCTGTAAAATAGGGATAATAATACTACCTCCGAAGATTGTTGTGAGGATCAAATGAGATAATGTTTGTAAAGTGTTTAGCACAGTGCTGGCACATATTGGGCACTATGTAGTAGCCACTACAGGTACTGTGATAGTCATTATTAGTATTACATCAGACAAAGTAATCATTCCTTCAAACATTCGAAACAATCAAGATTTCAAGAAAAATAGTACTTGAACTAGATATCCATTGTACACTTATTTTATCTTTAAAACTCTTGTAATGTGAAGTATATATATAGTAGAGTAGTAAATAGCTATGCTAACATTCTTTTTAGTGTATCGCTACATCATTACCAACTTTTTTTGCAAGAAAAAGCTACTTAAATACTTAAGGTAAATTGTAGACAGTAAGAAAGACTTTGTTGACATCAAAACTATTGAGTTAGTACTATACTACTGTGCTAATTCTGCTGGGAATTCTTAGAAAAAGTAGAGAAGAGCAGCAGTAGCATCAACTAATTTGGAGATCTATTAGGCATGACTTAGATCGCTACTGGTAAATCTTGATAGACTGGTTAGAGGCCCTTGATTTTCTATGACTAAGGAAGTTGGACCATCTTTAGAGGCTGAAGGAACAGGTTATTGAGATATTCAAATTTTTTAGTTTATGCTACCAGTTATGATTCTAGTTAGATATTAATTCTTCATTTCCTACCTAGATTTATTTTATGTAGACCTCTCTTCAGCATATTTAACTTAGCTCTTCAGTTTTAAGTTTGTCAACTTTCATTTGTGATTAACATGAAATAACTTAATCATATCTGTCTTAATAGCTTTGCTATTTTTCAGAATCTACCCACTACTGTTATGAATGTTTTTGAATAAAGGGTATATAATTTGGGTTAAACAGGAAAATTCCAATCACTTAGTGACATAAGTATAAGTTATTTTAGGCCAGAAATGATTATTTTTTTATCTTTGAGGTGCCTAGAATGTTGCTTTATATATATTACACACTTAAGAAATGCTTAACTGAAATAATGAATGTCTCCCATGTGCAGAGGATTGTAAGTACCAAAGGTAACTTTGCTTTAAATGAATGGTGCCATCTCTGTCATCAAGGGAATTGTTTGGAAGATAGCACATAACATTTGTAAAGCAGTATTTCAACAAATATTACAAATATAATACATCACATTTATTTAACAAATATCTTGTTCTTAGAAGGTTTCAGGTGGTCTAGTTGTCCAGTGGTGTACCAGCCATGAACGTTTAATTATATAAACTTAGCAGCTTCTTGCAATAGATATTAGAGAGTCTGTTAAAGTGCTCACTATAATGTAGCCTAAGTATCAATATTGCTACTAAACTTATAAAATCTTAGAGCTTGAATAGAATATAGAATAAATAGCTTATAGGATCATAACCTTGACGATTATCTAGTCTAATATTTTCCAAATTGATTTGTTCACAGAACATGTTTGGGCCTAAAATATGTTGATATAACTCATAAATGCTGGTCTAGGGGATGTGGAGGTAGATATGAAATAATCCCAGGAAAAGAGGAATTAGGAATATTTTAGAATGTATTAGAGGAAATTATAAATATTGTAATTATGTAATTATTTTATGTATTATTTATATTCAGTATATTAAAGGAGGAAATTGATTAGCCTTAGATTTTTTTCTTATGAAACCTCATTTCACATCATGTGGAATATCAAAATTCTGTGGAATGTATTTTAGGAAATAAACTGATCTAGTTTTTGTCCATTGATCTTATGATGGGAGATTTGAAACCTTTTTCAAGGAGATGAGTGCATTGAACAATGTCTTTGATAGGTCTGGAAAAATTACTTGTAGAATTGTGTTCTTAGATGATGGAGTGGGGAACAAAGGCAAAAGTATTGAGAATTTATTTGTTTAACTTTCAAAGTCTAGTTTTTCTCATGATGATTTACTAAAAGATCTGGGTTTAAGTCCTGCCTGTGGCAAACTGGCAAACAGCTAAACTGGTTATATGCCCTGGTCAAGCCATTTAACCAATCACTGTTCTAGACAACTCTCTAAAACTGTAAGTCGCAGAGAAGATGCTGACCTAGATTAGTAGTGGGGTTTCCTCATTAGGAAATTTCCTGTGACATTTTAAATCACAAATCCATTTCCTATGCCTTAGATTGTTTTATTTCATAGTTTTAGATCTGTATTAATCATTCAACAGGTATATATTAAGCACTTGCTTTTTGCCAGGCACAGTGTCAAGTACTGGAAATACAAAGACCAAAAAAAAAAAAAAAAGGAAATATTCCTTGCCCTTAACAAGGTTAAATTCTGTCAAGGGAGTTACCATGTACATATAAAGTAATATATAGAATATATGCAAAATAAATATAAAGGTCTTTTTTGAGGGGCACTAGTGGTAGGGGAGTGATCAACAAAATATTTACTTACCCATTATCAGTAGGGCATATACTTCAAATTGTCTTTTTTTTTCTTTTCTAGCATAGGGTTAGATTCACAAGGATCTTTCATCTCTTCCCATCTCCTTCATTTCTCTAGTATCATACAGGCACACATTATACCATTTAGAAAAATAAATGCATATAGGAGTTCTGTCACTGCTTATAAGAATATTCAACGTGTACAATTTAGTTTACATAGAATCTTTTTAGTATTT